AGGGCGGAGGAATTAACACACGGTCAACACCGGACGACTCAGGGTAAAGTCACCCCCGTCGGTGCGGTAGAGGCTCCGGTCGGTGGTCGAAAGAACGTTCGACCGTTTCTACCCCCAGCGGCCGTTTCTCTCTCTCACACACACCGACGTCAGTGTCGGACACGTTGGACATTTGACCAAGTTTTTTTGTATTTATCGAATAAGTTAGCGGCAGCTGACAGCTAGCCTTCACGCTCCTCTCTCTAACTCGAACTCTTGTCTTTTATTTCTTCCCTTTATTGAGTGTGAGCGAGATGATTGGCTGACATTTGACATTGAGCTTTAACATTAGCTCCTCATTCCGGCTTTGAAGTGTGGAGTCAACAGGCCTCCTCATTTAGATTAGACTGATGTCACAGCGGGGTTCTAAAGCTGCAGCGCGAGTCCCGCTGCTGGTACCTGTTCAAACTCTTAACGGTACGTTTTTGAGAAGAAAAAAAAACACTGGACAAAATGAGTCGGTGTCTCTAGTCGGTAAAAGGAAACGAGACAGACCGGTCACCTGCGTACAGTGTAAGTAAACAGTGTAGTACTGGTCCTGGTATACGCAGATATTTTCAGGTGCTGTGCGTTAGTGGTTACGAACTCGTCAAGTTTCTGTGGAAATTAAAGGAAGAAAAAAAACCGGAAACAAATCTAAAAGGTCATGAAGGTCGAACTAACGCTAACGACACAACATCTCCACAGAGTGTACTTTAAGTAGTACTGTAAATTAGTGGTGTGTGTTGGCGAGAATCTGTCGATGCGATACATATCACGATACGGGGGGAAACAATACGATATATTGCGATACTGTAGGGACTACAGTATATTAAATTTTTATTTTTTTAAATTACTTATTCATGCATTATCTACTGTTCAATTCCTTTCTGGGTCACACGGGGCACTGGAACCGATCGCAGCTCTCTACGGGTGAGGGCAGGTTCTTAAGTCACTTCAGTGTCCAATCAGCCTGCTCCTCCAATAAACATGTTCATTATGTTAGCTGAGTAGGTTGTTGTAGCTAACGTTAGCTCTGGTGTCTGTACCAGGACTCTTTTAGCTAACTTTAGCTCTAGCGTGTGTACCAGAACTCTTTTAGCTAACATTAGCTCTGGTGTCTGTACCCGGACGGCTGTAGCTAACGCTAGCTCTGGTGTCTGTACCCGGACGGCTGTAGCTAACGTTAGCTCTGGTGTCCGTACCAGGCCTGTTGTAGCTAATGCTAGCTCTGGTGTCTGTACCCGGACGGCTGTAGCTAACGTTAGCTCTGGTGTCCGTACCAGGCCTGTTGTAGCTAATGCTAGCTCTGGTGTCTGTACTAGAACTCTTTTTGCTAACGTTAGCTCTAGAGTCTGTACCAGAACTTTTGTAGCTAACGTTAGCTCTGGTGTCCGTACCAGGACTGTTGTAGCTAACGTTAGCTCTGGTGTCCGTACCAGGCCTGTTGTAGCTAATGCTAGCTCTGGTGTCTGTACTAGGACTCTTTTAGCTAACTTTAGCTCTAGCGTGTGTACCAGAACTCTTTTAGCTAACATTAGCTCTGGTGTCTGTACCCGGACGGCTGTAGCTAACGTTAGCTCTGGTCTCTGTACCCGGACGGCTGTAGCTAACGTTAGCTCTGGTGTCTGTACCAGGACCGTTGTAGCTAACGTTAGCTCTGGTCTCTGTACCCGGACGGCTGTAGCTAACGTTAGCTCTAGTGTCTGTACCAGGACTGCTGCCCAACATATCCCAGAATTCAGCTGTGTCAAGTGGCACAAATGACAACAGATGGCGAGGCCGTCTTCACACACACTGTAGTTTAGATTGTGAAAAGTACCACAGCGACAGTCGGTGCTGAACCAACGACCCGACCTGAGACCTCGGCACTCATTGTTGGACAACAGCGGAAATACGAGGGAGGGGGGGCTTCCTGTGCCCACAATCATATCCTGCTGTGGTTGGGTGTTGTGGCGTTTGTGGTGGAGGTGTGACTATAGTTGGTTGTTGATCAGTTCTCTGGTACCGTTTGACCTGTCCGTCACAGAGACGTTCAGTTATTTCATCTAAAAATAAAGTAATGCATAAATGTTGAAATTCTCCTTTCCACCGCCGCAGCAGTGTCGGCCATTTTTATTTTAGAACGTCTGTCTCCGAACAGTCACCTCCTTGACCCCTGACCTTTGGAACTGTACCTTTGGACTTCTAATTTTGTTGTGGTCCTTCCGCAGCTGTCCAGGGTTCTATATGCATCTTGTCCATTAAAAATAGTTCATTTTCGGGGGTCACCGTGGGGAACCTTCCGGAACACACTGGAGACTCTGGTTGTCATTGGCTGTTGAAAGGACCGATTGTTGGTTGGAGTGGGAGCCTGGAGTGCGGCCCATAAATAGGGGCATGGCCACGGAGGAATTTCAAACAGGGGCTGTGGGTCACGGCCCTCATGTTGACCACTCCCGTGTCAGTCACAGTGACCTCTACTGTGTGGTTTGGGGGAACATCAATCCTTCCTGGGTTCAGGGTACCAATTGTGTTAGCCACGGGGAGAGGACCACTCTGTGGGTCATGTTGACCAATCCCATGTGGGATCAATCCTACGTGGGTCACATTGAGTATGTTATCCGGTGGACTTCTTCCTAGAGCGCGAAATATCGATGCGCCGATGTATTGCGATTTAGGTTAAGGGTTAAAGTTAAAGGTTCTCTGGTCTAGAAATACTCCCTAACCCCACTGGACCCAGTAGTGGGGTTAGTTCTGTTCCTCAGCTCCACGCCCATAGTGTTCGGGGGAGGGAAGCTTCGTTGCTGACCTCATCGCTTCGGCAACTGACCCTGCCTGACATCCTGAGGAAGCACAGGAGGAAAAACAACAAGCCCGCAGCCCCCGGTGCAGAGTACGGCTGTGTGGAGAGCGTAGTAATACACACAGTAGTACCACACACATTCTTTAACCTGGTGTCAGTGCTGATAAGCTAGGAATGTAGGAAAATTGCGATACTTCCTTCTCCTGATCCCGTATCAATCTCCTCAGTCATTGATCAGTTATTGATTTTTTTTCTCACCAATTCCCAGTCCAATATTCCTGGTGTTGGTTCATTTTCTTTTTCTTTTCTTTCTTCTCTGGTGATTCCAAATGTAGATCCCTCTGATCCAGTGTTAGGAACTGATGTTCAGATGGAACAGAGTCTGAGACTAGGATCACACTGGGACTACGGCTACACTGGGGGGACGGGAGGGGGACACTCCATATATCGTCGTGACTATAGTATCACAAGATATTGTATCAGTGCTGTGATAATGTATCGTGATACGTATCGCCAGATTCATGCCTATACGCACCACTCGTTTTAAGCCGTATGTTTTTTTAAGTTTTTTTTTTTGCGACCTAAGAAGTGACGTGAAAACCAGAGTCACATTCCTCGTGTGTTTGTTCAAACTTGGCCGATAAAACCGGTTCTGATTCCGATAAACAAGGGATGTGATGTCCTGCCCTGAAGACGAACTCACAGGCCGTGGAAGTCCTGTCTAAGTCCAGATCTAGCTGGGCGGGAGGGGGGAGGGTTGGTGGAGGGGTAGGGAGGGTCTATCAGATGCTGAGCAGGACTCCACATGTACCCTCCTGTCGCAGGAATGTGAACAGTACGGAGATGAGTCCAGAGATGAGGAGGAGGCCGTGACACAGGGAGCTTCTGTCACCGTCGCTCTGTTTATTGTTCCAGGGAGATTTCAAAAATTCCTCTGGACTCGTCAACGTACCGTTGGTCCTGCTCATGCCCCTCTTGTTGACAGTTTCATTCCACCGCAACTTGAACAATGGCCCATTGAGTCCTGACGGTGTTAGAGCAAAGTCGGACTTTGTCCACTGCGGCTCGTAACCCCGTCTGGAATGGAAAGGATTGGCCTGTTACTGCATGTTTGCATTCTTGGTGTTTCTAACTCTGTCAGGACCAAAATAGTTCAGGGATGAAGTCCATCCTCATCTCACACTAAGTGCTGCCCTCCTCAGGAAAAAAGAAATACCAGCATCTGCTGGTCCATTTATAGACAATCAGGACAATCAGGCTGTTGAACAGAAAAGGGTTCAGACCAACGACTTTTATAATCAGGACTGTTGTAGCGAAAGTAGGCCTTAATGTCCGGACCAGGACTGTTGTAGCTAACATTAGCTCTGGTGTCTGTACCAGGACTGTTGTAGCTAACGTTAGCTCTGGTGTCTGTACCAGGACTGTTATAGCTAACATTAGCTCCGGTGTCTGTACCAGGACTGTTTTAGCTAACGTTAGCAATTGTATTTCTACCAGGACTGTTGTAGCTGACGTTAGCTTTAATATTTCTACCAGAACTCCTATAGCTAACGTTAGCTCTGGTGTTTGTTACAGGACTGTTGTAGCTAACGTTAGCTCTGGTGTCTGTACCAGGACAGTTGTAGCTAACTTTAGCTCTGGTGCCTGTACTAAGACTGCCGTAGCTAATGTTAGCTCTGGTGTCTGTACTCACAGTTTTACTTTAAGGTGATACTGACTACAAAACTGTAAAATGTTAGTGTTGGGCTAGTGAACTGTTGTTGTTTTTTTTTTTTATTGTTGCTCCTTTTACCGTAAAGTGTTGCTGTTCATCCAGGCAGTAAGAATAACTGATGCTAGGATTTAAACAATCATTCCGTCGTACACAGCTCATTTGAGAACCTTCGGTGTGGACCGTACAGGCCCTGACCGTGACCCACAGATGTGTAGTCTCAGCAGGTGGTGGGGGGTTTGATTGCGAAGACACTATTTTAGACCAGAAACTTGGCTCAGTCTCGGGGTGTTTGGAACCTCCGGCCCCGTCTCCTGCGTCAGAGCCAGGAGGAACTTTCTAGGAATAGTTCTCCACGATTAGCATTTTCTGAAAACAATCGCGGCGTCCACTGAACCAGCAGCGAGTGGACAATGACCGGGTGTTGTCCCCACTCGTCTCTCAGCCGTATTCTTCTACGTCCACAGCTGAGTCCACTCCGCTTGGACCTTGGTTAGCGTGTCAGCACCAGGTGCAGATTATTTTGAGCTGCTGGAGATATTTTAGCACATTTGCACAGACGTGGACTACTTACTGGGCATAATGCTGGAAATAGACCTGGACTCCCCCTGGTGATTTATGTCAGACTTTATCATGAGAAAGGTTCTGCTCCTGGTCAGGCCTGAGGACTAGGACTGATCGGGACTTGAACTGGTTAACACGCCAACCAGCTAGGAAACAACTGAGGTGAACATGGGAACACTTGTTGTTGTCAGTTAGCCTCTGTGTTTGGTCTGTGCTGCAGCAGCCACAGACAGGGCCTTCACACAGTGACCCCCCCCCCCACACACACACACACACACACACAGGGCTGTGCCAATAAGTATCACCAGGGGTACCACGGTTTGAGAACTACCACTAGATGAACTGAACAGTGGCTAACTGACGCAGTGGCTAACTGACACAATGGCTAACTGACCCAGTGGCTAACTGACGCAGTGGCTAACTGTAAAGCACTCTCTCACACTCACACACACACACATACACCAGCGCAACGGTGTCACACACCAGATTTCCCATCAGACACGTGGGCAGCAGTCAGCAGCTTTGTCGTCAGTACTGATGGTTGGGGGTAAGGTGGGGTGGAGGGGTTGTTGGGGGGAGGGGCTCAGTCGGACATATTTTACGGTGGGTTTAGTTCTGACTGGACCGTTGAATGATGAAGATTAGGAGAATTCTTTTTTAGGAGACATGTTGGGAGTTAGAAACTGGATCTGTGCCCCCTCGCCCCCTACATCCCCCAACAACCCCCACCCCCCAACCTCTCCCCACCTCCCCACCATTGTCCGTCTACAGCCCCATGTCACAGACAGTTGTCTGTCACCACAGAGATTCCAACCGGTCTGTAGGGGTGTCAGGGGGTTTGGTAGGAGAAGGTTGACCAATCAGAGTCTTCATAAAAACTTTCTGCCCTTCAGATGCGTTGCTGGCAGACCTGGAGTCGACCACGTCCCACATCTCTAAGCGTCCGGTGTTCTTGTCCGACGAGACCCCCTACTCCATCCCCACCTGCGGACATCCGTACCAGGAGGTTTCTGGTCCGCCGCCGGTTCCTCCACCTCCTTCGACGGAGGCTTTTAATGGTTCCCTGACGGACCGGGCGGACCCTGACCACTCGTCCCATCAGGTGCGGTTTTCTAGATCTTTGCAGAGTGAAGTTCTTCTGTAGAGTTTCCCCGGCCACAGGGATGCAGCGCCACCTGCCTTGAATTTTCGCTCAGCGCTAATTTTTCTCCTGTACAGTCTCTAGGCTCGGCCCAGAAGAGCTCGTGGTCCAGGGACAGCAGCGGTTCTCCGTTGTTCCAGTTCGAGGAGGACCACGTCTACAGGTAGTCTCCCTCGAGGCTGCCGCCTTCCACTTCCTTCTCTTCTTTGACTGATTTGTGACATTTGTTTTTTTTTCTTATTCCTCAGTTTCCCAAACAAACAGAAGTCATCTGACTCCTCTGCAGCTGCGACCTCCGCCCTGGGCTCCAACCTCTCCGAGCTGGACCGGCTGCTCCTGGAACTCAATGCGGTGCAGCAGAGCTCGCCGTCGTTCCCCACCACAGGTGCACATCACATCACATCACACTCGAGCACAGACACGACTCTGTGTGACAGCGGTGGTAACGTTGCTAATGTCTCTGCAGAGGAGGCGGCCCCGCCCATACCTTCCTGCAGCGTCACTCACTACGAGAACGGCGGCCCCCCAGAAATAATGGTGAGCCCCCCTCCCCAGGAGAAGCCCAGGAGGAACGAGGCGAGGACGATGGAGAGTCTGCTGGACGAGCTGGAGGGAACGGTGCCGTCACCCAGGTACGGACACCGCGATGCTAACACCAAAACTGTTGCAACGATACGATAGATTGGGGATACGATGCGATATCTTAGGCGCCGATGACTGAGGAGATTGATACGGGATCAGGAAAGTAAGAATCACGTCATCGACAGGGCTCGGAATCGGTTCAAATTTCAAGAATTGATTCGATTCCGATACTCAAGATTCAGAATCGATTATCACGATCCGATTCGATTTCGATTCGTGTTATGAGAACACGGATACGTGTGAGACCGGGAGTGTTCTATTGTTTCGGCACGGTTACAGCCGACAGTAACCGAGTTCTGTAATCAAACTTCGTCGTTCTTTACACGTCCGGTCGGACACTACAATACTTTGCGATGTGCCTCACTCTCCCAAGGCAAGCGTGCAACGTGTGAGAGTTTGAGACCAGCTTGCGATGCGAGGTTTATGGCGTGAGCGAAGCAGCCTACATGCGTTAGCCCCGTTATCTCGACCACACGGACCATATTTGCCATGTTGTCGGTCACCGTAGCTGCATCGGTTGTCAACATTGCCGCTAGACTGGCAGAGTCAACGCAGGTTCCACTTGTCTATGTCTATATTTGGATGTACAAATCGATATTCGAGAATTGATTGGAGAATCGATTCAGTATCGGCGAATCGATATTTCAAACTCAGGCCTAGTTACCGATATTTCCTTACACCAGATCTCAGCATTAAGATTAATAAAAATTTGTAAATCTCTGGATTTCAAACCTGGGTCTCGTCTTGTTCCAGCCCTTCTTCAGGCCACAGTGATCTGGACTCAGCGTCTCAACAACAGGCCAGGATCTCAGCCTCCTGTGCCACCAGAGAACTGGATGAGCTCATGGCGTCTTTGTCAGATTTCAAGGTAAAATAAAAATTGAAATTCTTTTCTTTCTTTTTTTTACAAACTCTTCCTCTTGCTAGCTCTCATTTCCTATTTTCCTTTTTCTGATTTCTCCGTCCTATAGCCCAAGTCTGTGGGCTCTCTGCTGGGCCCAGCAGGAGTTTCTACTCATCCCTCCGTCTCTCCTTCCATCACCCCTTCAGCCTCACCCTTTCTCCCTCCCACCGCCGCCTGTGCCTCCCCCCTCTTCTCTCTCCCTGCTGGTTTAGAATTACACATTAATGAAGACGGAGGAGGACAGGGCAGCACGTTCGTGTCCCACCTCCACCCTCTCTGCACCCACAGTCCCGTATCCTCCCTGTCTGCAGCCAGCGACCTGGACCTGGACTCGTCCTTGGACGCCTCCGCCAACATGTTGTCCTACGAAACCAAGTCCCTGCTGGTGCTATCTCATTCGGCATCGTCCAACTCCAACCTGATGTCAAACAGTCCCAGTTCCTCCTCCACCACCACCACCCCGTCCCTCACCTCGGTGAACACCGTCCTCGACCGCAAGTTTTCAAAGGGCTCCAGTCCCTCCGTGGAGCGCGTCTCACCCTCAAACACCGTCTGTCTTCCTGAGACCTTTGGCGGGGGGTCCGCTTCATTCAACGACCTTGATTTGAACTCCTCCGTCCCTCCTCCGTGGACTAACTTTACTCCTCCTGTCTCAGGTGCGGAGACTCTGTCTGTTTCTCCACCTTCTGGACACAACTCCTCCAAAGGCCCCTCTCTCTCCCCCTCTCCTCCCTCTGCCTCTCCTTTGAAAGTCTCGTCCCCACTGACCTTCACCAGTCCCTCCGCCCTGCAGCAGCCTCCCACGGCGACACCGCCCTCCTTGGACGAGGCCCTGGACAAGCTGCTGGAGATGAGTCTTTCCCAGAATCACTCCACGGCGCACGTGCACAAGCAGCAGCTGAAGATGCGGAGTCAAAGTCCGGGTCAGGGGAAACAGGAAGTGCAGGAGGAACTTATCCTGCCGATGGACAGTAACCTGGCACAGCCCTACACCTTCACCAGTGCTACCAACACCATCACGGACGAGTCCGTGGACGGAGGCACCGACGCGAACGGGGATCTGGACTGGGCCGACGAGGAGCTGTCCATGTCTCTCCATGACGGCCTGGACGGCACCATGTCTCCTTACACGGAGAGGCCGTACACCGACGGCAGCATGACCCCGCTGACGGAGGCCAGCTGGATGGACATGGAGTCTATGACCCCGTCTACGTGTCCCGGGACCCCCGACATGAACCTGGACCTCCCTATGATGCACACTCCAAATGTAGACCAGGTTTCCGCTTCAGGACACGTAGGCATCTCCACCGCAAGAAACATTTTGCTTGGTTTTAGTTTTTTACTCACAACAACTAACTTTTAGTGCGATAGAAGACAGGAGATCGGAGACAGAGACCCACGGCGTAGGACAGACTCCGACCATGAGGACTATGAAGATCAATGCGTTTTCTAGGTGTGTGGACTGGCGATGCGATACGTATCCCGATAAGGGGCAACAATATGATATATTGCGATATATTGTGATACTATACAATATATTAAGTTTGATTGTCATCACAGCTTCTTAACATCAGGTTACTAAGTTGGTAGAATATCGATACGGTATCGTGAAACGAATTATCGCGATATTTCCGTATATATATTTTTTTCGGACTTGGTGGTCGCGATGACGGTCCTTGTTAAGAAAACAGACGTAGTGACAGAAGACACGACCTTCGGAATCACATCCTTGTTTGGACCTGGAGCAGTAACTCTTCAGTTTAACAGTTTGCAGCATGTCTGTGTGATGGTCCTATCTGTGACCTCTGTGACCTCAGCATGAGACAAGCATGCCCCCCCACCACCCCTAATCCTCCCAGCATCAGTTGGTTGAAACCGTTACAAGTGTGACTTCCAGCGCTAACCGCATGGATAGACAACTGACAGAGATAATGTCTGTTAAGACGCCGGTCATGTCGCCTCAGATCAAGTCAGTGATCAGAAGAACCAAGGAGCTCCCCAACGTTCACCCCATGTTACGAGACGGCCTCCTGCGCAGGAAGATGGGCCCCATCATTGTCAACAAGAGCACGTCCCAAGACCGCCTGATAGAGGAGCTCCAGGGGAAGCTGGGCATCGGCCGCTCGGAGCGGCGGCGCAAACAGTCTGACGACTGGCTGACGGAGGGTGTCATTGTTACGTCCCGACCCCATCGCCTCCACCCTGATGAAGGCCACAGCGAGGTCGAGAAGGTTGGCCGTAGTTTGCTCTGCTCTTCATCTAATTTTTTCTTTTTTCCACTCCACTCACGTTCTTCTCCTCCTCCGTCATCTTCTGTCTCTTTCTGTGTCTCTGTGTTTGTCCCCTGTCTCAGGTCAAACCCCACCCTCAGATTTCTGTCCCTTTAAGGAAGGTTCTTCCACCTCCTTCTCCCCCCGCCCCACGCTGCCCCCCTGTAGTAGAGGAACCCAAGCAGCCACCGGTTGTACAGAAACCACTTATCCCCACACCGCCACCTCTTCCTCCACCCCCCTCCTCTCCACCGCAACGCCCGCACTACCATGGACCCGTTTCTGCACCACCTTGGCAGGTTGTTAAAGTTCCTCACTCGTCCCCGCCCCCCATTCAGGAACCACCTGCCCCCAAGGCAAAGTCCCTTCCTCCTGTCCTCAAAACTAAAACATGGCCTCCACCGGTGGAGCCAGCTGCGCCACCTCCAGCTCCGCCCAAGGTGCTGGTGTCAGTGGGCTGTCAGACAGAGTACGACCCGGTCTTCCCTCCGATGCAGGCACGAGCTCCTGGGTTTTAGCCCTCGCTGAGGGGCAGATGTTTTTGTTGTTGTGTCAACGGCGTCCATGTTTGTAACTGTTTCCTGTCTTCACTTTAGATAATGGCTCAAGGTAAGGTTGGTGTTCCTGGGGGGCCGCCGACACAGGTCAACAAACTGGACAACATGCTGGGCAGCCTTCAGTCGGACCTGAACAAACTGGGTGTCCAGACGGTGGCCAAAGGAGTGTGCGGCGCCTGCTGTAAGCCCATCGTAGGACAGGTGAGGACCGCGCCAAGCTGAGGGAACGCGCCGACATTCTCGACTCGTTCTTGAAACGTTTCGCGTCTTTTTGAGCAGGTGGTGACGGCCATGGGCCGCACGTGGCACCCGGAGCACTTTGTGTGCACGCACTGTCAGGAGGAGATCGGTTCTAGGAACTTCTTTGAGCGGGACGGAGAACCTTACTGTGAGACAGATTACCACCATCTGTTCTCCCCTCGGTGCTACTACTGCAATGGACCCATACTGGACGTGAGTTACGCACGTTTGACTACAGGTGCGTGTTTGTCTCCGAGTGTCACAGTCAACAACCTCCAAATGTGTTTCTGCAGAAAGTTGTGACAGCGCTGGACAGGACCTGGCACCCGGAACACTTCTTCTGCGCCCAGTGTGGATCCTTCTTTGGTTCCGAAGGTAGCGGCAGGTCTCCGTCAGTCGTCGTGACTCAGAATCCAGAATCTTCTCATCGTCTGTCCCGTGTCTCCGCAGGTTTTCACGAGAAGGACGGAAAGGCCTACTGCCGGAAGGACTACTTCGACATGTTCGCGCCGAAATGTGGAGGCTGTGCCAGGGCCATCCTGGAGAACTACATCTCAGCGCTGAACTGCCTCTGGCATCCGGAGTGTTTTGTCTGCAGGGTGCGTATACCGGGTGCCGTAGGGTCACAGGGGAATTAAAATTGGCCGTCATCAAACAGTCTACATACATAAATGATATCGTAAACTTCTTGATGCTAACACCCCTCCTCCCTCCTGTCTCCCTCCCTCCCACTCAGGAGTGCTTCACCCCCTTCGTCAATGGAAGTTTCTTCGAGCACGATGGCCAGCCCTACTGTGAAATGCACTACCACGAGCGGCGCGGCTCCCTGTGCTCCGGCTGTCAGAAGCCCATCACGGGCCGCTGCATCACAGCCATGGCCAGGAAGTTCCACCCGGAACACTTCGTCTGCGCCTTCTGCCTGAAGCAGCTGAACAAAGGAACCTTCAAGGAGCAGAACGACAAGCCCTACTGCCACGGCTGCTTCCTCAAGCTCTTCAGTTAGATCTGCACAAACCCCAGGGGCGGGGGGCGCAGGGTGGTCCTTTTAGTGAAGCCGACACTGGTGTGTAGAAAGGAAAGAGAACGTAGGCGACTGTGAGTGACATGGTCAGAGATTTGTCTTCAGGCTGTAGCAGGTTGTTGTTGTTGTTCTTGTTGTTGTTGTTCTTGTTGTTGTCAGTGAGATGAACATTGGATAAAAACAGGCTTATGGTTCAGTCTGTTTGTTTGTTTCCAAATCTTTATATATTGTTTGTTTTTTTTTTCCCGTGGGTGAAATGTGACTGAACACTGTAGGGATCCACGACCTAACTCTGTCGTTGACGTTGTTGCTCACTGGTTGAGTGTGTCCTGTTGGCTGTGAGATGGAAGCAGTGACGTGAAGCAGGGAACATGTTGTTTTAGCCTCACAGTAGAAACATTTTTACTGTTTGTGAAAACTTAAAAAAAAAAAAAACCTCCGACATTATTTTTCTTGTGAAGTCAGCGGACGGGTAAAAAATTGTTTAGCAACTGAATTATTCAGCAACAGTTTGAGACCAGTCGTCAACTTAAAAAAAAAAAAAAATCAAAGACAGCAAAAGTAATGGACTGATGCTAAAAACAAATTAAGTAAGGTCATCAGGTCATTGATTTTGAAGCTGAAGGCTGAGCTACTGTCTCCTCCGTGACCTTTGACCTTCCTAAAGACATTTTACAAGGACCGCAAGTTAGAACTTTCTGGTAGGAAAAACACAGCAGGAAACTGTGTTGTCAATACTTAGAATATTTGCAGAACTTTCAGGAGTTTAGCAACTCACAACTCTTTCGCAACTCTTCCCAGAATTTCAGGAAACCTGACCGGAAGGCTAGAAGGATTTTTTTTTAACAATGTCAGGAAAATATCCGGAATCAAGGACATATTTGAAAGAAATGGTCGCATACGGTGTTTTCTTCTCTGAGCTGCTACTACATTGGTATTTACGTACAGACGTGGGCCGGATGTGTGGATTAGAGAAGTCGTTTCTAAGTAGTTTCAGGTGTTGAAACAGAACGTGGGAAGAACTTCTTCCACAGATAGTGGTTCTCTAGTGTCCCTGTATAGAAAGGAACTCGTATTCTGAGTTGAGAAATCCCTGGCTTTGATTGTGCGCCCGAAGTGGCCCGGGGGCCGGGAGTTTGTCCCGACAGGTTAACGCTGACTGACCTTCTCGTTAACATGACTGGAGAAACATGTTGTCCTCACAGGTGAGAACCATGTGACCTTACTGCCTGGTCCTGACTGGAAAAAAGTTTTAAATAACCACTCATTTACACGAAGGGGGCGGAGCTTAGAGGCTGGTGCGGGTAGGGTCTGGAGCCAGTGACTGACGATGAAGTTCAGGGAACTGTTACAGAGCCTTTAGTCTCCTGTCACTGTTTTACCAAAGTCAAACGTCAACTGTTTTTGTCTGTTCATATTTCACGTTGCCTTTTTTTTTCTTTTCATCGCAGTAATGACGAACACTGATCTCCTTCAACTCTGGACTGATTTACAAATGAATAAACTGTTTCGCTATCAAACCGTTTTTGTCACGTCGCATTTGTTTATACGTCTATATTAATGTAGGTATTCATGTAAGTTGTGTATATATGCAAAAAAATACAACTATGTATAAAAGAAATTCCATATACCGTATTTTTCGGACCATAAGGCGCACCGCATTATAAGGCGCAAAATCAATGAACGGGAATATTTTCATACATAAAGCGCACCGGGTTATAAGGCGCATTAAGCGAAGCAAAACAGTCAGCGAAACAATTAAGTGGAACAATCAAGCATGTCCAGATCCCTCTTGTCAATATCCGAGTCGGTCTATCCCTCTGATCAATATCCGAGTCAGTCTCGTTGCTGTTACTTAGTTGTTCAGTGATGATTCCGGCCTTCGTCAGACTGATACCTTAGCCCAGACAGTGGCGTAACTCGTCAGGCGTCGCCTCCCTGTCTTGGTGAATCTGTGTTCGCCTTCTGTCATCCAATGCTTCCACGCAGCTCGCAAGTTAACTTTGAACGCCCTGCTAACACCAATATTTAGCGGTTGGAATTCTGTGGTTAATCCACCCGGAATGATGGCAAGCCCCGAATTAGTTTGCTTCACTTCGGTTATGTCAATATCGGTGAGATGGCGCTCATGGAGTCGCAGATAAATAGGGACGGAGATTTGTGGAAAAGGGTAGTGACCTATGTTGGACACAGGAGGGCACTGTTGTTGTTGTTCGCCCCTCCAGAGTCAGGCGGTTGTCACTAGTTTTGATCTGGATGGTCACCGCATTGTTGTTTTGACTCTGTTCCGTGCGGAAGTGCGGATGTTGTTTTGCAGAGAGAGTGTTTTCCTGGATCGATAAAAAAGGAGAAATAAAAAGAGTTTTTGACCACGAAAAAAAAAAATCGACAGTCATGCGTCTGAGTCGTCCTGCATCGCACCATACATCGACAATTCAAAAAACACAACGCTGAGTCTCCGGGTGTTGGGAGGCACGAAGCCGATTTAGGTTACACAACCATACACTAACAGTTGTTAAACATGTTCTAATTGTGATAACAGACTTAAACGTCATTGTTGGCTCCCACTGTGCTTCAGTTGTGTGCCATCATGTGTGATGTGCTGCGTGGTTTGACTTTATAAAATTGGTTCGAGGTCAGTAAGCGCAACCAGAAGTAATACATAAGGCGCACCGGGTTATAAGGCGCACTGTCGATTTTTGAGAAAATTACAGGTTTTTAAGTGCGCCTTATAGTGCGGAAAATACGGTATATATAAATATATAAGAAAAATAAATAAAACAGAATTTTTTTTTTTTGGCTCACGGGCCTAATGAGGTTCAAATTTTTTACTACCGGGGTCGGTTCAGTGTTGGTTATATGTAAAATGTTCGGGTGAAATACTAAAAAAAAAAAAAGTTCGAGATTTACGGAAGCTCATTGCCTTCACTGGATTAAAAAAAAAATAGACATTCACGTCTGTTGCAGTTCATTTGACATCACTAGCGTCTCGACTTGAGACACTGGGAAACACCGGTATTGCATAAAGATGAGGACGGTATTAGTATTCGGCATCTTACGTCATCAGGTTGAACTCTTGAGATTCACTTCTAATGCCGGCCGCCTCTAAAAACGCGGAACAGAACGCAAGCGCATGCGCGTTCAAGTCACCCACGGAACGTCAGACCACAGAACAGTCACCTCAACAACACACAAGAAGTAACGCCACACAGCATCAATACCCCAGTCTGGCACCTACATTTGATGTATGCCGCCATCTAGTGGCATTAAGTGAAATTACAATCAATTCATTAGCATGTCTGAAACAGAAACTTCAATTCTGTCAATTTCATCCCTTTAACTACAAGACCTGAAACCACCACGGCCACAAATTATGCCCAGAGCCAACATTTAGTCAGCTGCTCAGCTGGTCCACATCGTCACACCATTAAAAATGGACCAGAGTTACAACAACCATGAGCAGAGAGTCGCCTCCACCTGTCAGACTGACCACCACCCAGCTCACGGCTCTGATTCTACAGCCTTTAAACCCAAACTCAAAAGGAAACAAACCAGACGAAAGACAGGCGAACATTTACACCTCGGTACCGTTATGTTTCGTACACGCAGCTAGGCACAGCGGCCGCACAGAATTAAAAGAAAAACATCGCTCCCTACCATGTTGGAGATCTTCTTGACGACCAGTCTGGCAAAAATAAAGCATTTGTGTTAGCACTGAAGCTAAAGAGTTAGCATTTGTGTCAAATTACGACTTTCTTATTAAATAGTAAAACCTGAGTTGGACACAGATGTCTCACCTTGTCTTTCAGTTCCAGGACTGGACTCTGACTCAAAGTTTTTATGATTAAATGAGAAAACAGATCTCCAAACATTTTAAAATTAGTTTCAGCAAAGAACAAATAAAAAAAAAAAATTAAAACGTGTTCTACCACTTTAAGGGCCGTCTTAGCTTTTTAGCTAAAATTAAAATCCACTGAGTGAAAACAGTAGGGAATAAAAGTCCAAACGTCTCTAAACTTTCTATCACAGCCGTTCATCCGGACCAGGTCGAGCCGCCGCCATTTTGTGAAAAAAAAAATCTCGTTCACCTGTAGCTTTCAAACTTCGCGGCGAACTTCGTCAAACGCCGCGACCGTTATTAACTTGTTTCTTCAACAGTGGGATTATGTGCAGTTGGAGGAAGATGATGATGACGAAAAGTCGTTTATAAATTGAAATTAAGGAACATTATAGTCGATATTTTCATCTGTCAAACAGTAAACGATTAATACAGTAAACCAGGGGTCCCGAACTTCCGGTCCAGTACGTGTCTTTGGGCCACAGCGATTTTTGAAATTCCATCCATCCATCCATCCATCCATCCATCCATC